AAGAAGTACAATGTCCCAACAGCGCCTCGACTCACTCATGATTTTGTACATTGAACAAGAATTGGCTTTGTCAGTTAATTACAACAATGTGATTGAGGAATTTAAGTCCATAACACCTGGTGAGCGATGTCTCATTCTCTAGGACAGGAAGATGAAGAAACCTTAATCTGTTTTGGTCAGTTTGGGTTAGCTCATTATCTGGTTAAAGATAATGAAAATTGACTGTATCTTTGTATATGCCTGGTTACCACTACAGAAAAATTTGAAATTTTGTGTCTCATTTTTTAAGTTTGTATTTTTTAAGTACAGTTTAGTTGTTAATTTAAAAAACATTAAGTTTAGTTAAGTTTTAGTTTCTTTAATTTGTTTGATGAATAAAAATGTCCTTTATGATTGAGTATTCAATAAATGTTCGCCTTTAAAAAAAAAATTCCCTGGGTGCACCCTCTAATGAAATGTGCACCCCAGCTGTGAATCACCAGATACGCCCACCCCAAGCTGCGACCATCCCCTCACACTCAGGGCGTAGCCTGGGCTGCAAGATCTGCACCAGAGCTAGGCCCTGATCTCTTTCAGCTCCCTGGGCCCAGCCGCTCCCTGGCTCAGTTTCACCGACCCTGCAGCAGGGGCTGCTCCTCTCTGCACTGTCTGGGATACTTGTCCACCCTTTCCTACTGCAGCCTTGGGCAGCCCCCTCGCAGGTCTGTGGGGGAGCTCAAGGACCCAGGGCAGAGGGCAAACGAGGCAGATAGGTCCCTGCTTCTCCCAGCAGGAGAGTGTCCATCTTAACCATGCCTCCAGCCCACTCTTCCTCTCTAGACAGGAGCCACCCACTCCACATGCTACCCCTGGTCCCACTACACTGCCCTGCTGCTTGCGATGCTGGAGCAGCCTCCATGCTGGGCTCCTAGCCCCGCCATCGCTCCTTCTGTTACTAACTCTTTTGCTAAAACAGAGTGCTCAGCTGGGGAGAGCAATACACTTTTTTACAGAAGACTGGGAGCATCTATTTTAGCAGTCCGTAAGGATTTTTTAGGGGACCTATCTGACCAAAAGACTTTGGAGAGCCTTACAGTATACCTCCCGCTGGGTCCCCCCTTAAGCCCGTCTATCAGAGCTGGAACAAAAGAAACCACCCCACGGACGTAAACTCAGAACACCACTTTATTTACTAAAGGAGGGGGATGGATTAAGGACTCTGGAGATTTGGACTATGCACACACACTCGAGAAGGCAATGGTGGTCTTCTGCCTTCTTCAGGTGCGGCTGATGGAGTGGCTGCAGAATCCGGATCGGCGATGGCCACCGACGGTGGATCACAGGTGTAGAAGACAGGTATGTAACCCTATCTCAGACCCCTCCCCCCACCCATCCCTCGCTGCGCTGTCTATGGTCGTATGCCTGAACTAACTAATCGGACCGAGTCCGCGCTTCCCAAAAGAAAATAACAAACAACCCCCCCCCCCCACCGACAGTGCTGTTTAGTGAGTGGCTGCTGCAGGCCAGTCCCCAGTGTGAAAGGGGGTCCCACACCACAGAGAGAGAGCGTCGGACACCTGAGCCCCCAAAGGCTCCAGAGCCTCTGACCCCTCCCCTCATCTGCCTTTATAGGAACCGGTTGCTTAGCAACAACAGATTCCCGCTCTTTCTACTTTCCCGCCTTTTGCTCAGCCTAGGGGAACAAGAACCTGCCACAACATGGAGGTCACCTTGTTCTTATCCCAGACCAAGATGGCCGCCGAATAAACAATACCTGAAAACCCAGCTTTGGAGCCTTTCCCAATAATTTGGCAGGGGCGAAGCTGTGACTAACCTAGGGAGGGAATGGGGCAAGCTGCGGGGAGAAAGCGTAAAGAGGGGGGATGCATCGGGGCAGGAGCTGGGGGGATGGGAAGCTGCAGGGAGGGGAGAGAGCCAGGGGAGGTAGTGGGGAGGCCGTAGGGAGGGATGCTCAAGGGGCAGTAGGCATGGGTGGTAGGCACGGGAGGCGGGAGCTCGTACACGGGTTGGGGTGTCAGGCCATCTCCTTGTGAATCCCACCAGGCTCCAGGGAACCCCACGGCCAGCAGATCCCCCTGCCTCACAGCCTGGATCCCCAGCATGTAGTCTCGGGGGGTGGGGGTGGGGGGCGATGTGACTGCCTCAGGGGCATTTACCCCACTCCCACCCCAGGAGGGAAGTGAGGCAGAAGCACAGGACCTGCGCTGCGTGCGTGGAGGCCTTGAGCTCCCCCAGCAAGTGCTTTGGGGCAGCCCTCGCCCTGCGCACCATATACAACCTCAACGGGTGAGCCGGGCACTGGGGGTGGGGGCGCAGAGTGAGCCTGGCAGCCAGGTGGGCGAGCAAGAGAGAATAGACCCCCTGGGGGGGGCACTTCCAAACCCCACCCCACACTCCTTGGTGACCGCAAAGTTCTCAGTGGGGCAGGGGCTTGGAGAGGGGTTCAGACTCTCTTGGTTATGGGCCAAGGGATTGGGACACCTGATAGGGCAGGTGAGACTCTATGGGGGATCTATCACAAGTGGATCTCTCATGCATGGATCTATAGGGTTGGGATCTATTATTAGGGGATCTCAATCTGAGAGCTCTGTAGTGAGATCCATAGTGAGGGGATCTCAGTGTTGGGGATTCATAGTGAGGGGATCTCTCTGTGGTGGGGAATCTCTAGTGAGGGGCTCTCTCAGTGTTGGGTCTCTCTCAGTGGGGATCCACAGTGAGGGGATCTCTCATGGGGGAATCTCTAGTGAGGGGATCTCTTGTGGGGATCCATAGTGAGGGGATCTCTCGGTGGTGGGGAATCTCTAGTGACAGGATCTTGGTGTTGAAGATCCATAATGAGGGGATCTCTCAGTGTTGGGGATCTCTAGTGAGGGGATCTCTTGTGGGGATCCCCATCGTGAGGGGACCTCTCGGTGGTGGGGAATCTCTAGTTAGGGGATCTTGGTGTTGGAGATCCATAGTGAAGGGATCTCTCAGTGTTGGGGATCTCTAGTGAGGGGATCCATAGTGAGGGGATCTCTCAGTGGTGGGGAATCTCTAGTGAGGGGATCTCTTGGGTGGGGGATCTCTAGTGAGGGGCTCTCTCAGTTGTGGGGATGTATAGAGAGGGGCTGAGACAATCTGTAATAGGAGTACGGCTCCCCTTTGGGGATCGATGTACAGTACTGGGGTCTCTCGCTCAGGAGATCTATAAGGGGTGATCTGCAGGTCAGCACTCTCTCTCAGGGGGATGATTATGGGGTGAATTGGAACTCTGCCATGGGGTGGTTCTGCCTATGGGGAAGGTGGGGCTCCCTTTCTCCAGGGACTGCTGTATAGGGTGGGGTAGGGGCTCATGGAGGAGGCTGGTGGCACTGCAGTGCCAGCATCATGGAGTGATTTTACCTCCCCCCACTCCGGCTGACCCCAATTCATTTCCCTTTCGCTCAGAGCGATCCAGAGAGCCGGGATCCTCCCGTCCTGCAATCACAGCTACCAGGTACCTCCTTGCGCTCCTGCCCCACAGGCTCCCTAGGGCCCTGTCCCTGGTGTGAGGGGCTCGGCTCATCCCCGCCCCTTGGGATCCCTGGCCTTTTCTGGCTGGGTTTGGCCTTGGCCGCCGATGGTTTGTGGAGGGGGAATTCCTACCTCCCTGTCACCACCCCTGTGTCCTGTTCTCTGACTCATCTCATCCTGCCTCCGAAGCTCCACTCCCTTCAGGAGGCTTTGGTTCCCATCATGGGAAAGGAGCATGAGCTGCAGTGCATGGCCCATGGGCTTTCTCATGCTCCCCAGGGGCCTGCAGGCGACAGCTATGGGGCAGGGTAGGGGACACTGGGGATTCTGGGTAATAAACAATGGGGCTCTGGGTGTGGGCAGGGGCTACAGGGAATTCTGGAAAACAGAGACTGGGGTGCCGGGGTTGGGCAGAGCCCCAGGGGATTCTGGGTAACAGAGAATGGGACATGGGAGTTGTGCAGGAGCAATGGGGGATTGTGGGTGCTGAGGCCAAGCAGGGCTTTGGGGTCAAAGAGAATGGGAACATGGGGCTGGGTAGGGTCGTATGTTTTTGCTGAGCTGAGCTCCTGCTCCACTCCCAGGCCTTCTCCAGAAGCTGAGAGGACCTGGCCCTCCTGCAGCAGGGAGTTCCGCAAGTTGATGCATGGCAAAGCTTTTATTTCTGCTCCTTGGTTGTAGGCCTCACCACCTTTCTTCTCTCTCGGTGTGTTGCAGGCCCGCCAGGTCCTCTTCAGCAACTTCTCTGCTGGGTGCCTGGAGCAGGGAACCAGGGATTTTTCCCTCTATCGGCCCTGTGAAAACCAGAGACGCATCTTCTACTTCCCTCCAAACCAGAAGAACCCACGGGACCCCTGCCCCTGCTGGTGGGGAGTGGGACGGTCTTGTGGCTCAGCAGCAGAGAGCCCATTTGGGAAGGTTCCCCCCGGGGAGGTTGGAAATCAGGGTCCCCGTCATCAGAATAAAGTCCTCAGAAAGGATCGACTGAGTCTTGTGCGAGGGATTATTTTGTTAGCATGGCCCCTGCTACAGAACAAAGGCTACAGGGCACCCAGACGTCCGGGACACATAGTGGTTATAAGGGAAATAAATTCCTCCGGCGGAGGGGGTAAAGGGAGGGCAGCCCCTAGACAAGATGGGAAGCTGCGAGGTGGGTGACAGCAGGAAGGCTGAGACTCACCAACTCATCACAGCAGTGGCTGCACAAAGTGCCACCAGATCCTGTGTCCCTGCACCCCCCTCCCTGCTGCATCCCGGGGGGGGGGGTCTGGTGACTGCAGCCCCCGTCTGTCTAACTCACTGCAGCCCCCGCCACCCGCTGCACCCCAAGGGTCTCTCTAGCTCACTGCAGCCCCGCTGCGCCCCAGGGGGGTGTCTGGCTCACTGCCCCCCCACCCAAACACGGGGCTGGGGAAGCGTCCTTCTTGCGTTCTAATTGGTGAGGGCTCTGCCTCCTCTTCCTATTGGCTGTGTCGGGGGGGGGGGCGGAGCTTCCCAGGGCGGGGGGCGGGTGTCAGGGCGCCCCGAGGCTCCGGGAGGCCGCTCTTGAGCGGCACGTGGAGCAGCCTGGCGCGCCAGAGGGTAAAGGAGGTGGGGCCGCCTTGAGTTCCCCCCAAATACCCCCCTAGCCCCCTCTCCCCAAATGCCCCCCACCCTCCCCCTTTTCTAGCCCCTGCTGCGAAATTCCTGCCCCCTCTTCTACCCCTTGCCCCCAAATACCTCCCACCCCTTCTCTTCTAGCCCCCTGCCCCAATACCTCTCATCCTCCCCTCTTTTCTAGCCCCCCACCCCCAATATCGTCCATTTCCTTCCTCTTCTAGCCCCAAATATCTCCCATCCCCCTTCTTCTAGCCCCCCTTCCCCAAATACCTCCCACCCTTCCAGCCCCCCAAATACCTCCCATCCCCTTCCTCTTCTAGCCCCCTGCCCCCAATACCTCCCACCTTTCCTCTTCTAGCTCCCCCATCCCCTCCTCCTCTTCTAACCACCTGCCACCCAAATACCTTCCACCCCTCCTCGTCCCTAGCCCCAAATATCTCCCATTCCCCCTCTTCTAGCCCCCCAGCCCTGCCTCTAGCCTCCAAATATTTCCCATCCCCCCCTCTTCTAGCCCCCCCATACTTCCTCTAGCCCCCAGCCCTGCCTCTGTCCCCTTCCAAACACCTATCCTGAGCCCCCAGCACTCCCTCTAGACTCTCCCAAACACCATGACCCTTCCACTCCCTCCATTTGTAGACCCCCTCCCCTAGTACCTACCCTGATCTCTAACATCCTTTCCTGTAGCCCAGTGGTTTTCAACTTTTTTTCATTGGTGGACCCCCAAAACATTTCAAATGGAGGTGCGGAGCACTTTGGAAATCTCAGACATGCTCTGCAGACCCCTAGGAAGCTGCGTACCATAGGTTGAAAACCACTGACCTAGACCCCCCCCCAAATATCTACCCCAGCACCTCTGTCCTCTAAGCCCCCTGTCCACCCCCTCTTTCCTTCTCTAGCCTTCAGAGATAAAAGGAACCAGAAAGGTTCCCGAGAGCTGGGCAGGCGAATGTGTTCTGCTGAATGTGTTGCCCGCTCCACAGGCTGGATGGGGGGAACAGACTCTAGTGTTATTTATCCAATCCGAATAAATAATCCCTCTCCAATTGTAATCTCAGATCCTTCCCTAATTTGCCTCTGGTGCTAATCCTGCCTCCTACCCAGCTAAACCTGCCTGTTCCCTTTACCCTGGCTATAACCCTGCCCCCTCCTCTAATCCCACCTCCTTCCTAATCTGTTTCTGGCACTAATCCCACTTTCTCCTCCAATTCCCCCCACCCCCTGCAATGAACCTAGCCCCCTCTTCTAATTGGCTTCCCCAGGACCCATCTCTAATCCTGCCCCCTCCTCTAATTCCCTCACTCTGGAACTAACTCTGCTTCCCATGCTTGGCTCTAACCTCCTAATCTTCCCCATATCTAATTCCAGGCCCTGGTCCCCTCCTAGCCCCCACATTTCCCATTCTGCTGTCTGACCCACAGCTGGGCTCTTGCTCCTTTCAGCTGGCGTGGAGGGGCTGCACCAGATGGTCACCAAAAACACCGGCTGGGGACTTAGCTCTGGATCCAGCTCTTGTCCCTGTGCGAGTGCCTGGACTCGGAGGGGAAGGATCCCTGGCCCGAGCCTGGCTCTCCAGGTTGCACCTCCTGGCCAGGGGGTGCTAGTGTGCAGGGGGCAGCTGGTGGGGGTGAATTTGGTTGAGCAACTATCAGGGCTGCATTAAACCAGTCCGCAGTCCTAGGTGCATCATGGCATTGGGCTCTGCCCCCCTCGCTGTGTCTCTGCCCTACCCAAAGTGACAGGGGTGACGCTCCCCTCCCCGAGAGGCAAGGGCATTGGTATGGGGCCCTATCCCCAGGAGTGGTACAGGGTCTGCTCTTCTCTGGTGCAGCAGGAGTGACAGTCCTTGCAGGGGGCCATACTAGCCCCAGCAGCTGGGGTGTGTCTGCTGGTGTGGGCCTGCTGCACTCTCCCCCTCCTGTCACACACAGCTCCCGGGGGTTGGGGTTGGCCAGGCCCCCTGGAGCATAAGGCCTGGAGTCAACACCCAGTGAAGCTGAGGCAGCTCCCCCTCACAGTGATAGGCTCAGGCTCTCGGTGGGCTCAGGCTGTCGGCGGGTTCAGGCAGCGTTGGTCACATCCCGAGCAGCTTCCCCCTTGCAGCCATGGTCTTAGGCAGCATTGTTACCTCAGTTACGCTTGGGTTACATTTTTTGAGCTTTTCTTGCTAACCACAGGAACGGTATTTTGCTTTTGGGTGCAAGGCGAGATTCTGCTGGGGTCTCGTGACTCTGGGAGCCTCTGCCATCACCCCTGGTGGTTTGGGGACAGGCTGGCACATGGCAGGGAGCTCCCAGTACAGTTTAACCAGACAAGAATGAGATGGAACAGCGGGTGGGGAAGAGTGGACCCTGTTTGGGGGGGGAGCCAAAGTGGGTGAGTAGGGCGGGTGTGTGGCTGCAGGCTGGGGGGGAAAGCTGGACATCATGGCATAGTGTGGGGTTGGTAGAAAGGGCTGGGGTTGGATGGATGGATGGTGTGGCATAGTGTAGAGTGAGGATGGGGGTGTGTATGGATGGCATGGCCTAGCGTGGGGGGCCAGGAGGTGGGGTACAGGGGGTGGCTGGATGGCTTTGTATGGGGTGGGCAGTGAGGCAGGGGTGCAGTGGGTTTATCTGGAGAGATTCATGCCTGCATTTCCCCCTACCCTGTGCCAATATCTGTCCCTGGTGTCTGTCCCCCCTGCAGAGCCCTTGTCTGGGCCGATTCCACCCTGCGTCCCCTGTGAGTGGCAGTTCCTGAGGACGTGCGCCAGAAACCCCGAGCCAGCTGCTCCATATGGAGACGGAGAACCCAGGTGAGTCTGAAGGTGACTCTGAGCAGAGCAGCACTGGGCAGCCAGCCCCATAAAGCCAGGTGGGGACCCCAGAACCCCCAGCCTGTGCTGATAATGCTGAGCATCAAAGACCTTTAATCTCTAGGGAGTTAGTGACTAAGCTAGGAGTAGAACCCAGGCATCCTGGTTCCCAGCCCTCCCCCCAACCCCCTGCTCTAAGCACTAGACCCCCACGCCCCTTCCAGAAATGGGGAATAGTGATACCCCCTTCCCCCCTGCTCCGTGTGCTCAGTCTGAGCTCCCCGCCTCCTTCTCCGAGTGCCTGGTTTGACTCCGTCGCACTGCTCCCTCTCCCCCATGTGCCCGGTCTGACCCCCACCGGGCATAAGAGGGTTATCCTGACGCCCATCACCGCAGCGCCTGGGCTGAGTCCCTCAATGCCCAGGGACCAGATCTGCTCTCTTCACATTCCCCGTCCCCCTGCTGCAGAAACCGTGTTCTCCCACGTGCATCGTTGTGCGGCCCTCACCAGCGACACGTTCGACCGGCTCCTGGCAGGGGACCCGCAGTACTGGGGCTGTAAGAACAGCGTGGCAGCCTTCATCCTGGAGCGAGGTGAGGAGCATCTGGCTGGTCAGGCCCTGCCCCCGCCCCACCGCCAAGGCCGGATGGCTGCAGGAGAAGCTCACCCTTCCCCTGGCACCTTGAAGGAACCGGTTGAGCAGATGCAGCCAGGCAGCTGATGGCCTGCGGCGGCTGACCCAGGCTACACTGCAGTGTGCGTTGGACAGAGGTGGTGCTCTCCCCAGCAGGGGAGATGCACCCAGCCCTATTGGTGGGGAGGTGGTCTATGGACTGGGGAGAACCCTCCGCAGATGAAAGAACAAATGGGTGGCTGATGATAAATGGGTTGGTGCGTTCCCTGGTGCTGGAAGCCAGGACTCCTGGGTTCTATCCCCAGCTCTCAGAGGGGTGTGTCATTTAAGGGTCGGAGCCAGGAATATTAGCTAGGAAACCTGCCCACTGCCTTCTTCCAAATTCTAAGTGATGCGGAAGTCCCAGAACCAGGAATAGAACCCAGGAGTCCTGGCTCCCAGACCCCTACCCTCTTTAACCACTCAAGCCCACTCCCCTCGCTGAGCTGGGAACAAAACCCAGGAGTCCTGGCTCCCAGCCCCCTGGCTCTGATCACTAAACTGGAGGAGTCACAGTAGTTTGAGGCTGGGGCAGTGATGAGGGCAGGTTACCCCTGGCCCCGCTGCCGCCTCAGCACTGTGGTTGAACCCTTCTCTGCCCTGCAGAGGTGATGGACACGCAGCAGGATTGCAGGGAGAGCTTTGAGCTGGTGGCGCTGGGCACTGGCGATACCTGCTACGGTGGCTGGCTGGATTTCAGTGGCCGGCGGCTCCATGACATGCACGGCATGGTGGTGGCTCGCCGGGCGCTGCAGAGGTGAGAAGTGCTCCGGTCACTAAGCTGCAATGTGAGGCTGGCTGGACAGGCTAGAGATGGGGGGGCGGGGGGTGGGATCTGGAAGAGCCAGCCTATAACAGTCAGGGAGGGGCCCCGATCCTCCTTATCGAGGATGGAGCCTAGCAGTTGTAATAGGAGACTCCGTCCCTCCCATAGGCAGGAATCAGACCCTAACTCCCCAGCTCTGCTCTAACTACTGGACCCCACTCCCCTCCCAGAGCTGGGAATAGAACCCAGGAGTCCTGCCTCCTAGCTCTCCTTCTGTAACCCACTGTATGGACAGGGTGGCTGAGTCCTTGGGGGTGGAGATTAATTTAGGGTGTTATTTGGGCTGGAGAAGTTGGGGTGAGTGTTAGGTTTTAAAGCGACGGGGGGCAGAGAAAGGGATCTAGTCCTCTGTCCCATTGTGGGTTTTCTATGGATGGATGTGAAGGTTGGGGAGATCAGTCCGATCCTGTGGGGGCGGGGGCAGAGTTCGGAGCTCTTGTGGGACCAGTCACTACTGTGATGGGGGATCTCTGCTTCCCCACTCCCCCCAGCAGGTACCTGTACAAACAGCTGTTGCTGGGGTGTAGCTTGAAGGAGCCGGCGGACCAGGAGAAATGCATCTTCCAGCCCTCGGCGGAGGGGGGGCGGCTGGCCCTCAAGCCGAAGGTCTTTGTGCACCTGTATCTGAGCTGCACACCCACAGGGGCCTCCGAAAACTTCCCGTGAGTGTGGGGGTGGGGCGGGGGGCTGGTGGGTAGAAGGGTCGAGGGTGTGGGGCGGTGCTGGGGAGTGCCAGGGCAGTGCTGTGGAACACAGGAGTGGGGTGGTGCTGTGGGGGGGTGGGCTGGGGAGGCAGAGCTGGGGATCAACAGTGCGGTGACGGAGGCAGAGGAGTGGGACAGAGCTAGGGGGCAGGGTGTGGCCATGGGGCAAAGGAGCATGGCGGAGCTGGGGAGCAGTACTAGGGTATGGCAGGGCAGTGGGGTAGAGCTGAGGGGCAGTTCTGGGCGGGGGGCAGAGGTGTGGGGCAGTGGGGTGGCAGGGACATGCTGGGGGTGTGGTGCTCAGGATGGTGGGGATCTGCTGAGGGACAGAGGCATGGGTTGATGCTGGGGACGTGCTGCTGTGGGGTTGGGGCCTGTTTGTCTTTTTTCCCTAGAAATCAGCCCTCTTTCTAGTGGCTGATAAACCCTGAGCTGCCCCCAGCCCAGTGCCCCTGTTCCCTGCCCCCCTGTGACCTGCCGTGCCCGTCCCCCCGCCCTGCTCACTGCAGCATCCCGTTCCCTGGGAGGAAGCCCTCGGTCGGCCTCTACGTCCATGCCAAGGGCGCGCTGATGCCTGTCCCCAGCTGCCCCCCAAGCCTGCTGGCCGCCTGCGTCTGCTGCGCCTCCGGCAGCGACAAGCTGAGCCGCTGGAGCGTGCTGGGCCTGCAGGGGGCGCTCCTCAGCCACTTCATGGAGCCGCTGTACCTCTCCAGCATTATCCTAGGTGCGAACTGAGGCTACTCTGGGCAGAGGGGTTGAGTGGAGGGTGCTGGGCTGCAGGGGCCTCAGTGGGGAGGTGTAATGCGGGGGGGGGGGGGTCAGTAACAGTGCCAGACTGCAGGGAGTGGGGTGGAGGGCTCGTGGGGAGCACGATGATGCAGGTGGGTTCAAAGTAGGGGGCACTGTGCAGCAGGGAGCAGAGCATGGAGGGGGCTCGGTGGGGGTACCGTGCTGAGGAAGTGGGTGAGGGGGTGCTCGGGTCTGTGGAGCCGGGTGGAGGTTCAGTAGGGGGCACTCTCCCTGCACAGCCCTGACCCCAGCATGGCTCAAGGGGATGCTGTGCTGTGGGACTGGGGGGCTCAGTAGGGGATGCTGTGCTGCAGGGGGAGGGCTCAGGAGGGGGCGCTCTCCCTGCACAGCGCTGATGCCAGTGTGCCACAAGGGGGCGCTGTGCTGCAGGGAGGAGGCGGGGCTCAGGAGGGGGCACTCTCCCCGCACAGCGCTGATGCCAGCGTGGCACAAGGGGGCGCTGTGCCGCAGGGAGCGGGGCAGGGGGCTCAGTAGGGGGCGCTCCCCCCGCACAGCGCTGATGCCAGCATGGCACAAGGGGGCGCTGTGCTGCAGGGAGGAGGGCGGGGGGCTCAGTGCCTTGGAAGGGGCCCTGCAGCAATGGCTCTGCCTCTGCCTCTCTCTTCCCCCTGCCCAGCGGACCCCGGCCCCGACCAGCCCGCCCTGAACTGGGTCATCAACGAGCGGCTGCAGCTGGGCCCCGAGGCCGGCCTGCCAGCCCCCTATGCCCAGCACCAGATCTGCTTCTTCCTGGGGCCCCGTGTCGGCCCCCTCAGCTCCAGCGCCGAGTGCTGCAGGCTCAGCCTCAACTGGTGCCGTGGGGACGCAGCCCCAGAGCGGGTGGACGGCGCCACTGGGCTGGCCGTGCTGAAGTGAGTGGGGGGACGGGGATCACGGTGCAGGGGGGTAATGAATCTCTTGGTCCCCTTGGTACCCTGAGTCCCCTGGCTGGTCCTGTAGTGCTAGCAGGATGGGCGATGCTGGGGGATGAAACCCAATGGACTGGGTGGCGGTTGTACCCGAGGGGCTGCTCTCTGAAGCCAAGCTCCTCTGTTAGATCCCCCATGAACACAGTGCTTGGGCTCCCCCCAGATGGTGTCTCTGCCTCCTGCAGTGCCCCCCATCTAAGCCCCCTCTGCAGTCCAAACCTCTATCCCCCTGGAGCTGGGCACTGGAGCCTGGTTCACCCTCCGGTGCGGCCACAGCGTGTTGACACGAGCGAGCGGCTCGGTTCCTAATGGCAGAGAACAGCCGACACCCCAGTGTTAACTGGCTGCGGATGGGTGGGCGGGTGGTGGGGCACTGGGGCAGAGGTGTGTCTGTCCCCAGGCTGTGGGTAAAGCCAGATCGCTGGCACCCACGGCTGTTGATCAGCAGCTGGAGCTGCCCTTGCCCCCTCTATCTGAGCGTCTCCTTCCGCCCCCCCCCCTCCAGAAACCCTGCCGCGGAGGACCGGGTCTTCCCCAGCCAGATCTGCAAAGCTGCCATGCTGCGATACTTCCGGCAGTTGGTGCACCAGATGAACGAGAATGCTCTGCTGGCGCTGCCCACTTACCACCAAGCCAAGGTTGGGCGCTGTGCGGGGTGGGGAAGGGGGGGGCTGCCAAGTGCTGAAGGGAAGACACAGGAGCATGGGGTATGGGTGTCACGGAGTCCCCGGGCGATGCTCTGGAACTGCTCCCCATGAAGCCAGTCAGGACTCTGGGGAAGTCTCCTTTCTGGGAGCAGCCTGTCTGCAGGACACACAGCTCACACAACTTCTGACCTCGGAGCATTCAGCCTCCTCTGCCCCTCCGTGCGCTTCCCACAGCGAATCCACCCAGGCGGGGTCCTGGGGAAGCCAGAGGGTCCTGCCCCCCAACTCCGCAGTCAACTCCCCCAACTCCTGCCCCCCAACTCCGCAAACTGAAACTCTCTCCAGCCCCCCCTCCTCTGGGCTTTGTTCCTTTCCCGGGCCAGGAGGTCACCGGATTCCTTTGTTCTCCATCCCTTTAGCTCTCACCTTGCAGGGGGGAAGGGCCAGGCCATCAGTTGCCAGGAAACAGGGTGTCGGCCATTCTCTGTGTCCAGACCCCTGCACACACTTGCCCTCTAGGGCTCTGCAATGATCATACACCCTTACCCCACCACCTAGAGACTTAAGAACTGCCTAGGGGAAACTGAGGCACCCCCCCACTATTCAGAGGAAACATTAAGAACAGTCCCACTTCGTCACAGTGGGTATGTCAGGAAGAATGGTAGGAGTCAGGACTCCTGGGTTCTGCTCCCAGCTGTGGGAGGGAAGAGGGGTCCAGTGGTTAGAAGAGGAGGGGATGGGGACTTGGGGTTAGGACTCTGGGGTTCTGTTCCCATCTGCCACTAACTCTGCATGTGACTTTAGTCAGATCACTTCCCCAGTTTATGCCTCAGTCCCCGTTCCGTCCCCACCAGCTCCAGCTCTGTAACACAGGGCTGATTCTGACCCACGTCTGACTGCGAGACTGAAACCCTTTTGCTCAAGCGTCTGTTAAACCCTCCGTGCCCTGGCCAATTCCCACTGTGCCTCTTTCTCCCTCTTTAGACCCAGGCTGCGTCTTACCAGAGTGCCAAGGAACAGTTCTTCGCTCACCTGATCACCCAAGGTCTTGGCAAGTGGCCTGAGAAGCACCTGGTGGACAACTTCACCGGTTAGGCAGTGAAATAGCCCCGGGGGGTCTGGGGAAATGCCTAGGAGAGGCCGGGAAGGAGTAAAATCTAGAGACTGTTGGAAATTTCGGGAGTTGGGGTTAGGGCTTTTAAACTCTGTTTGCTATGCTGCATAGGGAGGGGCCAGGGCTGTGCAATTAACAGACTAGGCTGTGAAGAAGGCCCACTTTTCATTTGATTTTTCTTTGAAGTGCGAGGGCGATGGAGTCCCCAGAGTGCTCCGGCTGGTTCAGCCCTGTTGGCGCAGAGCAGCTGCCAACCTGCTTTCACGGATGGGTTAGGTCACCAGACTGCACAGCCCTGCCACAGCAATGCCAGCGCAGTTAGCCCAGAATTTCTCCCTCTGTATCAACCTTGTCCAGTGGTGAATTACACTTGTTTATTAGCTAGATTGAGCTGCTTTTAGTCTCGCTCGCTCGCTCGCTCTAAGGCAGATTTTCCATCCCTGGAATCATTCTCATGGCTCCTTGAGCCCTTTCCAGTGTGTCCGCAGCCCTTCTGAAGTGTGTCCATGAGAACAGGACGTGTGCCCCAGGCTGCATTGAAAGGTACCACCCCCTGTCCTTCCTCTGACAGGATCCCCCTTGGCTGTTCACCCTCTGAGCCCCAACAGTGCCCGAGTGCACCTGTGCAATTGTCTGCCACCAGACGCAGCGAAATCCTGTTCGTTCTGCTCTGGAGCTGCTGGTGGTGGTTTGAGTCACTGCAGTCTGGCCTTAAGAAGTGCAAGAACCTCAAGGAGTGAGCTGGAGCCTGCTGGCTGGGGAATGTGATGCAGGCAGGAGGGAGCATGGCCCAGGGGTTAGAGCACTGGACATCTGATTCTATTCCTAGCACAATACCTGGGCTTTTTGGGGGACCATGGGTGAGTCATTTCCCTGCTCTGTGCCTCAGTTTCCCCATCTGTAAAGTAGAGACAAGGCTGCTGACCTGCTTTGCAAAGTGCTTTGTGCTGGACTGATGCACAGCTGTAGCTGAGAGCGAGGAATCAATTTGAGGTGGAGCCTTTAATTCGCAAGCCCTACAGATCTCAGCGGTGTTAAATACTAGGAATAAATTGCTGGCCCTTGCCAGCATGTGCCATTTCTGGGCCCCACGACTGACCGCCAGCAGTGGCTGGTGACAGCCAAGCCCTGGCAGACATGCTCCTGTTCTGAGCGTTAACTTTATTTCAAAGGCAATAAGATAACTATCAAGAACAATTTTTCCAAGAAGTCCATTAACCCAGCTGCCAGTTCCAGCCCTCTGCCACCAACACCCATAACCTCCAGCCCCATCAAACACACATCCCTTAAATCCCCCATGCCTCAGGAGAGGGAACGTCTGGCTCCTATCATGCATTAGCCAATTAACACAGCAAGGTCCTCGTCTCTCCACAGGAGCACTCAGTGGGGAGAGATCCTGTCAAAATATTAGTTGTGAGCCAAGGGGGAAATGTTGCAAAGGGGGGGTGGGATGGGATTCTGCCAGGGAGACAGGAGATCCTGGGTTGAAATTTTTCCCTCTGTCACCTGCTCCCAGTCTTTCTAGTCAAAACCCGCCCAGTTCACGTAAGTTTTGAATGGCCCATTCTGCTCATCCCATATGACCTCCTATGTAACCCAGGCTGGAGCCTCACAAACCTGAATTCCTGCATTCAGCCCCTAGCTGGTGGTAGGGCTAGCTCGGCTCGAGAATGAGGCAACAATCTCGCTGAAAAGCCAGAGTGCTGAAGGCTCCATCCTGGCTCTGAGCTGGTCCAATGGTTCCCCACCCACCGTGTTACAAACCTGCACCCCGTTTCCCAGCTGAGACTCCCCAGTCCCAGGATCTCACGCTGCATTAACAAGGCCCCTGCTGTCAGAAATCACCTGCTGCTGCAGGCCCTGCAACACCCACATCGCTTTGCCTTTTGACCCAAGCTTTGAATTTTCAAACAACCCTCCAGCCAAACTCAGCCTCCAGCCGGGGTTGGGAGGGGAGAAGTTCAAGCGCTCATGATCTGCCTGCAATGACATGTCTGAAGAGAGACCAGTGGGGTGCGGGAATGTCATTCGTTGGCCCACTTCTTCCGAGGCTTTGGAGCTCCGGAGAGGCAGCCCCCCAGCAGAGTCTCTCACCAGCACAAGTTGGTCCCCATGACCACGTTCCCTCCCCCACCTTGTCTCTCTTATGCCCCAGGACCAACAGCTATGCCAACTCTGTAGCCTGAACCATCAGGACATTTTCTCACCCCCCCCCATCTCATTTCACACCAACAGCAGGAAGAACCAGGGTCTCCGGCCGTGCCCCAGACACTAACTCAGCTCTTGGCTCCCAGGGGGCTGTGCTAAGAGGGGATGCAGACCGCGGAGCAGCTTGAGAAGACTCCTGGTTGTCATGGGCATCGCAGCCTCGCTCCTCGCTTCATGGGCTGGGTGGCTGCGTTGCTGTAACAAGAAGCCACTTCCAACACCAGCCGGGAAGGTGCTGTGCTGCGTATCCTCCGGCATTCAGGGGTTCCTTCCCCGGGGGTTTGGAGCAGCTTGAGCCCCTCCAAAGGCTGGAAGAGTGCAGAGCAGGGCTGGCCGGTGCAGTGAGGATCAGGAGGGATAATCCAGGGTGGGAATGGCTGGGGGAGGAAAGGATGGATCCTGGCGTAGCTCAGCCAGGAGCCCAGATTAGTAGCCGGCCCTGTGCACCGTGTGGCTAGTGAGGGGGAGAGGTGCACCCATGTGGTTGGAGAGGGATGGGGGGAGCTGTATCACAGCCTAGAAAAATCTATTGCAAATAAATAGGGCACTGCAAAGGCCCCCCTGCCCAGCAGTCCTGGCCCCCAGCCATAGTCCCAGACACAGAGCAGCTCCCCGCAGGGGAATGAGGAAAAGCCCCTCTCCAACAGCAGCCCATGCCCCCATCTCTGCCCTCCCTGCGCCAGCCCAGCCACAGGGGGGCACTCTGGGGGTGGGGGTTGGGCTTGTGGTTGCACGGGGGGGCCCACCTGGTTCATGAGCTTGGCCGCCATGGTGACGGAGGGCTGCTCCATGTTGGTGGCGTTCTTGGGGCTAGTCTCCAGGAACGGCACGTCCGTGTCTTCCTGCCCGGGGGGCACGTGAAAGGCCACAGGGTGTGCCAGGCAGCTGCTGGGCAGGTGTAGGTACAGCTGCCCCCTCCCCTGGCATGCAGAGAGAGGGGCTGCCCCCTGGTGCAGGCAGTGATCAAGCAGAGCAGTGCAGGGCATAATAGCAAAGAGCTTTCCATTATTAATTGCATCCCTACAGCCCTAGGAAGGGGGCTTGTAGATCCCCCCTGTGCCCTGCCAGCTGACCATGTCTTACGCTAGGCTCTCCTTGTTATTCATGGGAGACCTCCCCTCTCTCAGGATTATCGGTGCTTATGGGCTGGGATTTCAGGGTGTGAGGGGCGCACTAATCTGCCCCTCCCAAGGCCTGCCGTAGGCATTGGTGTAATCTGGTACCTTCTTGAAGGTCAGATCAGCTTGTTCCCATTCTCGCTGGCGTAGCGGCTGGTCTCCTCCAGCCACAAGTGAATGTTGCTGAATGAGTCTTGGGAGAGGCTCCGAGAGCATCCAGCCCCTGCAGCCACTTCCACGGAGCCCAGCTTCCCTCCCCCACAGGAAGATCTGCTGCTGGGGAATCAGGGCAAGAGCATCGCCTGCAGTCTAATGCCTATCTACAGATGGGAGCAGCCTCATCAGCCTTCACCTAGTCCATCCCCAGCCAGGATGGAATTGGCCTCTACAAGTCCATTTGCCCCTTGCGGGGGAGAGAACATGGCACCTTGCGTCTCAAATGCAATACACCTTCTCATCCAAACTGGGCCCACCGGCTTCTATCACACACACATATCCCCCAGAGCGGCCTTTAACTGGGAGCAACTGTCAGTCATTACTCCCCTCAGCGGGATTAGAACCCACAGCCTGGAGGGAAAGGCTCCCTAGCCTCATTCCCAAGCAGCTGAGCTAACCAGTCTCAGAGCAGCTGCTCTCTTAAAGAGACACACACACTCCTGGCTACGCAGCTCCTGGGATTCAGCCCAGAAGATTCATTTAAATGTCCAGGGAGACTTGATTTCTACCCCTCAACTTTAAAAAGTTTGTGTTGTTATTTGTACAGAGCCCTGGGCTAGCACTGAGGGGTCTGAGAGAATACAAAGATCATTCACATGCAACGCTCCGGTCTCCCACCAAACACGTGCAGCTGCCTCTAGGGTGGAATGTGGCAGCTGTTTTAAACAACACGCAGAGCACCGCTTCATTGAAGAAGTCCTGCGTTTGAGATCAGTCCATGGCAGAAGGCAGCCAGGTCTGTATTCTCTACACAGACGCCATAGAAAAGGGCAATTCATTTAAAAATCATCTCCCCATGCAGTTACCATTAAACTTTCCCCTGCCCTTCCTTAGGATGCTGGATTCGACTTCCTTCCCCACCTTAAAAGGATGCAGTTTCTATACAGCTGTTGGAAACATCTCCCATATCCCAACACAGACGTAGCTTTATCTCTGCAATAGGTGACATGATCCCTGTATATAGAGCCACTGTGCCTCACCCCAGAGGTGGCTGCATCTCAGTGCTGGGTGATGTGATCCTGGCATAAATAGCTGCCGTGTCCCACCCCAAGGCTATATACAGGTTGTGAAATATTTCAGGATTAGCCACAGCCATTTTTAACCAAGGGCTACAGCAAGTCAATTCCCCGCGTAACAGCACCTCCCTGATCATTCAGTTATTATCCACACCAAGCATCCATCCACATACATCCTCTATCTCTATTTTAATCACAATTGTTAATACAACAAAAGGGCGGGGAGTCTCTGGGTGCTGTTTCTGTTGTTCGAGTATTGCTTTGAGTCTCTCTCTCTGTGAATTGCTTTGAGAACAGACTCTGTCTTAGAATGTACTAACACAATTAGCAGCTTGCAAGTTTCACACATAGAGGGAGAGAAACAGCACCAAAAACCAAGAGACCTCTTAATTAGTAATACCCTGGAATTGAAACTATGGGGAATCAAACTCATTTGTGATTTTAATACAGAACTTCTTTAATATGATCCAACATAATCCCCCTTTTCACACTAAGATTTATAATCGTCAGTGTCACTTTCTATGTAGCCTATCCAGGAGAAAGTACTGGAGGCAATTTGAGTTTGTGATTCCAATTCATGCCACATACATGATCCTAGTGATGTATCTTTACTACAAGGTTCTGGGGCAACAGGCAAGGTGAGGCACACCCACTTTTGAGGAGTCCATTCGGTACAACCTCTAGTGTCCAATAGCTTCCCTCCCTCCCCAGCCCACTGGCTCAAAGTCCAGGGTAGCCAGAAGGATCCCATGTGTAATATATGGGGAGTGGGTTAACCTTCAATACCTTTGCCTCCAGGGACTATTGGTGTGCAATTTTGACAACAAT